ACTTGTTGCCTCTTGTCGCGGATCCGGCTCTTTTCGGACCGACTGTCAGGGTTTCTTTTTGGTGGAGGAGGTCCTTGCACCGCACTGAGTCTGGGACTCAAGGGCGGGGGCTTGGAGTCCCAGTTTGGATGGGGACCTGGACACCCGGGACAGGAGAGTGACGGGTTGGTCCTACTTGTGCCCGGGGTACAAGCGGGGCGTGTGTTTTCGGGGTACCCAGCTGGTGGCATTGATTCGCGAATCGCCGGGCGATCCGGTACGGCTTGTCTACGGTTTAGCATCATAGTAAGAACTAAAGATAAAAGATGGAAGATGAAAAAGGAAATCTGATTGCTTACCACCTGCTTGAAAGTAGTACAGGTGCTTACATAGAATGGTTAGTTAATGAACCAATGTGGCTATTAATAAAAAATCGAATATAAGGACGCACGCTTAGTAATGCTTTTTGCAAATGCAATAAACCCACAAGCCAGATAGTCTTGCATATCCTTGGAGTCTTTTCTTTTCTCCTGTCAGGTAAGTCTTGCTGAGTACAATTGAGTACTCAGGGTTTTATTCCCCATGTTGCAGGTGACAGGTGGATGCTAGAGTTGACCTTTGTGTGTGGATTCCTCCTGGTGGGCTCAGCGAGGATTTCCTTTACGCTGCAATCAAAGTTGTTATTTATAACTCTCACCAAATACTTTTATAAATGAAAGTTTAATAATCTGTTGTCATAGTTTATATATCAATACTTTATCATGTCATTAATAGATGTTTATTTCCGCTGTAACTCTGATCACATGTTTATATTCCGCTGTTCAATTAAATTGTTTACAACTCTGATAATATAATTTCATTCCGCTGTTATGTTAATAATTATTATACTCTGATGTTGTATTAAAAGTGATGTAAGAAATAGTTAAATGATGTAAGCTTTATTCTCTCATTTGTGATCCTGATGGCAAAAAAGTGGATTTTTGGGTTCTCCCCTGGGGTGTGCCCGATGGAACCGAGTAATTTAGTGTTCTCTCTCGAGTGCTTAGTGTCTAATGGAAGACAAGCACTCCTGTGAGGCATTAGATTAGGCGGTTCTGCCACAATAGTATTACTATACAGAGATAGTCATTGGGTTCTGGCTATAACTGGACGCTTCCGGTGCACACGACCTGTGCGTCCGGTCATCTCACAGTCAGCCCAATAATTGTGCCAACAACTTTATTATTTGGGGGTGTCTATAAATATCATTTGGCTAGCTCTAGCTCAGTCTCTTGGCCATTTGCATTGATATAGCAACCTTGTGAGTTTAGCCAAAGCCCTCCCACTCATCTCCATCATTGATTCGTCATCTTTATGAGATTGGGAGAGAATCCAAGTGCATTGCTTGAGTGATTGCATCTAGAGGCACTTGGTATTCGTGTTTCGCTGTCGGATTCGCTTTTTACTCTTGGTGGTTGCCGCCACCTAGATGGCTTGGAGCAGCGAAGGAGGATGGGCACGAGTTGGTGATTGTTCGTGGCTATCTCCTGGTGATTGTGAGGGGTCTTGTGCCTTCCCCGACGGAGCGCCGAAAGGCAACTCTAGTGAATTGCTCGTGTTATTGAGTTACCTCACTTGTGGGTAGGTTCTTGTGGTGTCCAATTGTATGGACGAGGTTCATGCAATACCTCTTAGCCACCGAACCACCAAGTGTTGGTCGACACAATGGGGACTAGCGTACTGGCAAGCACGTGAACCTCGGAAGAAAAATTAGTTGTCTCTTGTCCTTTGGTATTCTCTTGGTGATTGAGTTAGTATTCATCTTATGATTGGTTCACTCCTCTACACGGCGGTATAATCACCTGACTTACTCATTTATATTTCCGCAAACTAGTTGTAGCAAGCTCTTTAGTGTAGCTAGAAGCTTTGTAGCTTAAGTTCATCTAGTGAAGCTCTTTAGTGTAGCAAATGTGAGAGCTCTTAGTGAGTAGTGACTTAGTAAATTATGTGTCTAGTGATCATAGTAACTAGAATTGTTGGATATGTGGCTTGCAAACCTTGTAGAGCTAGAGCAAGTTTGCTTTTCACTATTTGTCATACTAATCAAATTGCTCTAGTTGGTCTGTAGATTTTTTAAATAGGCTATTCACCCCCTCTAGCCATATTAGGACATTTCAACATCACATTCAGCCCATATAATTTTTCAGCCCACATTACATTCAACTCATATAATTTTTTCAGCCCACACACATTATGTAAAAAACTCAAATAGCAGACAGCGCCACCTAGTGACACCAGACCAACACGCATCTATGATGTCAATTCACATATGTGTGTTCCAAACATGCGCCTATAATATTTCGCCAACCAGGGGCAAAGGGTCAGCGGGGGTCAACATGCGTCTATGATAACTCAAGTTACTATAGATGTGTTTTCCAAAGCCGCATTTAAGCAATGCATCTGCATGCATCCGCGTCTGTGCATTTTTGTCTCGGACCCAAAAAAATATTAAGTCTAGTTGATTGGAACCAAGCCTCCATAGCTAAATATGGGGGCTTACGCAAAAAAACGTAGCTCCAACAGGGTCCTTACTAAAGCCCCAATTTAGGGTGGGCACCCAAATCTTCCCCAAGACCTCATTCCTGCTGGCCCAACACTCCGACCCCCCCCCACGCGGGCGCTGCTCCTTCCCTCCCTCCGCGTGTGTGCGCTGCTTCAGCCTTCGCTCCGTCTTCCTCCGCAGCCATGCATCCCAGCGTGGCAGCGCCCCTCCGGCAGCCCCTCCCCTCCCTCCGGTGGCCGCATCCTTAGGCCTCGACGGCTCCTCTCCTCATCGAGCGGCCCTAGCCACGGAGGAGAAGCCTGGCCGCGCTCCCCTCTGCCGCGCCCTTGCCCCGGCGGGAGCTCCTCCCAACGCATCGGCCGGGCTCCTCCCCATCCGAATCTCCACCCTCCCACCCTCCTCCCTTGCTTCGGCGCGAGCTCCTCCAGATCACGACGCGCCCCCTTCACTCAGCTCCCAGCAACGCCCTCCATGGCCGCTCCTCCTCAGCGCGGCCCTTGCTCCAGAGCAGCCTCCTCCCTAGCGGCGCTCCTTCTCGGCACGACCTCTTCCGTTGCAGGAGCTCGTCCCGGTGCGGTCCCTACCCATCCGGACTCCTCCCCACATGGTAGATAGAAGAGAGATGAGAGGAAGAAGAAAGAGAGAATGACGACAGGGTCCCGCTTGTCATTGTCCACTGGAATGATTCTGGGGGCTCAGAGACGAGTGCTGCTGTTGGAGTAGAAGAAAAAAGTTGGACTAACAAAAATAGGGGTGAGCACCCAAATTCAAAGTAGGGGCCCTGATTTGGGTGCCCTTTGCTCTTATAAATCGCTTTGTCTTGTACCTAGACATATGTTATATTTAGATACGTAGCAAAGTTGGTGTACAAAATAAAGTCGAAGTGACCTATAATTTAAAATAGAGAAAGTACTTGTTAAACATTTAATTTTTTTTGTACTCATCTATCTTGATATATTTTTTGGATAGACACGTGCGTGTCGCACATGCATATTTATTAGTGTATATAAAAAGATAGGTACAATTTGATAGATATAGATTATATAAGTTGACAAAAAAATAAAAAAAATATTTTATTCCTTTTAGAACAGACACTGCAGACTAGCTAGTAAAAATGGCAACAGGTAAAATCCGCGCGGGTATAGGAATCACAAACCCGCACCCGCGACAATATATCTATGCCCGCGCCCGTGCCCGCCACCTACCACGGGCAGCACTATGCGCCCGCGCCCTCTATCCGCGGGCATGTTTTGCCCGCGGGCATGCCCGCATACCCGCCAGAGACGGCAGCCTGCGCGGCGGGGATGGTGGCCTGGGTCGGAGCTTCGGAGCAGGGAGGATGGCGGCCGGCGTCGGAGCCTCGGAGCGGGGAGGACAACGGCCGGCGAAGGAACCTCGGTGCGGGGAGGCCGGTGTCCGACGACCGGCGTCGGAGGGGCGAGGCCTACCGCCAGATCCAGTGGTGGAGGCCGCCGAAGTGGGAGAAGGCACTACACTGCCGCCAGATTCGCCGCCGAGGGTGGGAGCGGACCGCCGGCGTGAGCGCAGCCAGCAGCGCCGAATCACAGCTAGCAGCGCTGGATCCAGCCGGCCACTGCCAGATCCGGCCGCCGCCACCGCATGCGCCCCTCTCCCGCCGCATCTGCAGGTGGTGGAGGGGGACTGGGGGAGCGGGCCACTGCCGCCGCGAGGTGGAGTGTGCGCCGGCTGGAGGGGTAGAGGAGCGCACACCGGCCATATGAGGAGCAAGCGCCGCCGGATGAGGAGTGCGCGCCGGATCCGGCCTCCTTGGCCACGCCGCCGCCAAATCTGTCCTTCCACGCTCCGCCGGGGCCGGATCCACGCCGTGGTGGAGTCACACCGTGGGAGAGGGAGCCCTCCGTGGTGGAGAGGAAGAGAGAGCGTGGTGGAGAGGGGAAACCACCGGATCTGGGGAGGCGCGACGCGCCGACGCCGATGGGGAGGCCAGACGCCGATGAGGATGACGGATGAGTGAACTGAAACCCTAGAATCTGAAGTTTATATAGCTCTTACGCAGTGGCCCCATATGTCAGTGCGGGTTTCGCGGGTTTGCGGATGCGGGCATGCTCTTTTTTTTACCCATTTACCTTTGCCCGCTGGGCACAACTCTATGCCCGCGCCCGCACCCGCGGGCACAGGTTCGCGCCCGTATCCGCGCCCACCGGGTCGGGTGCCCGCGGGTACGTGGATTTTTTTTTTTTTTTTTTTGGTCTGTTGCCATCTTTACTAGCTACGTTGGCATGGGCCCAGGATTTGGACGCGGCGCGAGCGCACTGCCCATCGATTTGCCACGAGGAGATAAAGGGCGACCCACCTGGCCACTTCTGATAGGCTCCTCCGCCACTTCATCGGGTTTCCCTCAATCCAAAGATGCCGTCCTGTCCACCCATCGGCAACCTTTCCTCATCCCACGGCGCCCATGCCACCCACCTGTTCGACCACCTGACGCCGCACCCCGATGGCTCCCGCGCTCACCTCCAACCCGCCCTCCTTCCGTCCCCTCTCTTCCCCACTCCGCCGTCGTGCCGCCACCGTCCTCTGCCGCGTCGGTAAGCCCGGCAAGGACTCCGCGGTGGATGATGCTGCCCTCAAGAAGAGGCCCAACCTCTTCGCGGACTTCGGGAAGCTGGCGGATGCCAACTCCCTCATACCGGTGTTCCCGTCGTCCGCGGCGGGGTCTCTGCTCACGGGCGGTGGCAGGGGCAGGAAGGACCCGCAGATGGTGTTCGTCGCCGGCGCCACAGGGCAGGCCGGGGTCCGCATCGCGCAGACCCTGCTGCGGCAGGGGTTTGCCGTGCGCGCTGGCGTCCCGGACCTAGCGTCAGCGCAGGAGCTTGCGCGGCTCGCAGCAGCATACCGGCTCATCTCCCCAGCGGAAGCGCGGCGGCTAAACGCGGTAGCGGCGGACTTCGATGACCCCGAGGCGATAGCCAAGTCCATCGGGCCCGCTGCGAAGGTTGTGGTCACCGTTGGCCCGGCCGAGAAGGGGCCAGAAGGCGGAGGCGTCACCACCGACGACGCGCTTCGGGTGCTGCAGGCCGCAGACCTTGCCAGCGTGGCGCACGTGGTTGTCGTGTATGACGTCGAGGGGGCCGGCGGCCTCGGTGGCGGTGGCGGTGGGTCCACTTACAATGTGCTCGACGGCTTCACGTCCTTCTTCTCCAACCTCTTCTCGCGAGTGCAGACGCTGACGCTGAGCCAGTTCTTGGCCAAGGTGGTGGAGACCGATGTCAGGTATACACTACTGAAGGCTTCATTCACCGACGACTACACCCCTGAGAACTCCTACGCCCTGGTACTGGCCAAGGAGGGAGTATCGCCTAGCATCACCGGCAAAGTATATAGCTTATAGAATTGATGAGTTTCCCAGTGCTCACTGTTTAAAGGTATTCATTGTTGCCTACGTGCATTGCTCTGTTCATTTTTGTGTTTCGTTAGGTATCAAGGTCACAGATTGCAGCCCTTGTAGCTGATGTCTTCTCCAATGTGGCAGTCGCTGAGAACAAAGTAAGGAAACTGTATCAATATGTCCCTAACTGTAGTAATGTGGTAGTCTTGCAAATTGCAAATCCTCACAATTTAGGTAAATTTAATATACAATTTCTTTGCTGCGGTCCTTAGTGATTTTTATACGGTATATTTAATATTTATATACATCGAGCATTTAAATCCAGGGCTTGTGCATGTTCATAATGGTTTAAAAGTAATACTTACCAGATGGACCAATATTGGAAGTCGTAATTGCTTGTGTCAACCTGTCGAATGTCAAATGTCATTGATGAGTGAGAAGCAATCAAATGAAGGCATGCAGCAGATAGAAATATATATGTTACACAAGTAAAAAAATAAATGCATTTCTGTCTGGAACTTAATTCCTTAGGATTCACTAAATCATTAGTGTTGCAGGTTGAAGTTTGAAAATATTACGATATCCCATTTTAGTATTTGAAATCGGTAGTAATATCATGCTCGAAATTGCAAACACATGAAAAATATTCATATTACAATTTGTATGTGTTGTCTTATTTATTTTCCATTAGCATACATGACCACAATGCCTACCCCAACTTGCTTGGGACTGAAAGGCTATGTTGTTGTTGTTGTAGCATACATCACCACAATCTAAAAGGATCTGCTTTTGTTCTATTCATTTATAATAGTGCTTTCTTAAGTCGACTTGCTATTTCAGAGGAAAGTCAAACTAACTATTATTCCTAAATCTTTTCTAGCTTCACGATGACAAATATGCTTCTTTTTTATCACTGAACTTGTTTTCTGTTTCCGCTTTATTATTTGTATACCCATTATATGCAGCTGTAGTGTCTATAGAAATTGAGTATGCCTATTTGGTTTTCTTTTTATTTATATCCTTGGTGCTTCTTACTCAATTTGCACTTAAATTTGTGATAATTTTCTTATTTTCTAGGTCGTTGAAGTTTCAACTAGCTCATCAGCAACAACGAAGCCCATAGCGGAGGCTTTCATGTCAGTAGCTATCACCTTTCCTAATTCACTGATTTGTTACTTGACTTGATTCCTTTGTTATGGTGTCATGGGCCCAATGTTTTCAAATTGTCTAATCGACCCTAGTCTCCATGGCACCGATAAGGTGGTTGAATATGATTAGTCGTCAATAAGTCACTTCTTTGCTTGCTTTATCTTTGTCCTGGAACATGGCATTGATTCTGGTTCTTACTACTCAGCAACTTGTTCTTGGTCATCGTCTTTATTTGCATCTTCTTCACCACCTTTATCGGGTACTTGCACAATGCAAGCACTGTCCTTGAATTCTTCTTCAAGTACACATGCATCTCTTTCCTAATTAACTCAAGTGCTTTTGGGCATTTCTCAGCATCCGCATAACCCCTAGCAAGGCGCTGCTAAAACTCTTGACTCCTAAAGGTATTATCTTCTTATAGAATATGCATTGCACAAATTCCTTTGCAGGATCTAGCCACCATCCATATTTCTACCTTGGGTCTACCGGTTTGAGCCTTCCTCTTGGCATCTTGAGTTTGCTCTGCCAGATCTAGTGGCAGTTCACCAATCACCTTTTCTACTAGGGATTAAGCATATATTTAGTAAAAGCCAATTCAGTGCCATCAACAATATATTGAAACTGTACAATCATCAATTCAGTGCAAGGTCCAGGAATTTCCTTGCAAATACCTCGGGCTCCCATTGTCAATCCAAAAGCTCCCCGAATCTGAATTCTATGTGATAATTGACAAGATTGCGGTCGACTCTGGCTGTGGCCACCTCGTTGGATGATGTCCCTGGCAACAACTACAATGTGATGATGACTGCGACCCCGTTTGTGAAACCATCATGTCCTCATCGCATACACCAACAACTACAATGACCTCTGGATTGCCCTCCATGGCTAAACCAGAGAAGTTGCCTTGGGCAAGAGGCGCTAGAATGACGACTGATTCCACCACCACATCACCATCCCCATGTACTTCGCTTCTAGGATGCAACCTTCAAGATGGATATCAAGATCTCCTATATCATCCTTGATATGAGGACCAGTTGGACGATTCATCTCTCCAACACAAGTGGACGGATTGATTCTCGGTCCATGTCGTGCGCTTGCTCGATAGCAACCATTGGTCCCTATTCGACAACCATCCCCTTCAACAATCAGATGTACTAGGCTTGCCACTGCTTGAATCACAGATCTAATCACCCTTCAACATCTTCCCCTAGGCAACCTCAATGTCAATGGCAACTAAAGCCGCCATGGTTGCAATTATCCCCGTGTGCCATGGCATCGCTCTCTTTATGTCGCCAATAGCAGCATGTCAACACACTACCTCAATAGCTTTAGATGTTACCATGACATTGTCCAACTGCCCTCTTCATCCACAATCACCGACAATCACGGATCATAAGCAATCAGGTGTCATCCGCATTGGGGTCATCATAACCAACCTGGTGTCTCCAAGCACAATGGTCCAATCATTGGCATCGGTACATCAAAGGAGAGGATCTACAATGAGTATATTAAGCTACAAAAAAAAATTCTGAAACCAATCTGATCAACCCTATTGAGCTATCATCCAAGTCTGTTGTCTGCATCGCCCCGATCATAGCAATGTTGACCAATACTGGGATTTGGGAGACCTCGAGCCGTCTAAGCCACAACAACAAAGAAAGCAACCACATCATCGATAATGCCTCGCCTACACACTACTCTAGACATCATCATCGACTTCCGCAACGTTGACAAATCAACTAAATAAATCTGTGATGTTGTCTTCAACCTGCTACAATGGGTGTGCCACTGTATTTCCATAGGGAGATGATGAAACCGGCACGCGACCAAAGCAACAGTTCGTCCACACCATGGGGCTAACTTGGTCTACAACCACGGCCACCAATAGAGCTCAGATGTTGCACATTAATAGAAGGCAACCACTATGACATTAACATAAACTGAGGTAACACAGAGAACATCACCCCATCAAGGCGCAAATGATAGGTTACAGCAAAAGGACATATACCCTTTAGAAACGCAAGGGGAGATGTCATTGGCCTTTGACCAATAGACAACCGCCAAGAGTGCATCTAGGTTAGGGTTAGCAACCGGTTTAGAATCAGGTTTGCTTCTAAATGAAGTCTGGTCCTCCCTATAAAATAAGGGAAGATGTAATTGTTTGGAACTAAGAAATACTCCCTCTGTCCAAAAGTCTAAGTGGTATAAGAAAAATCTCATTTTCTAGAAGTTTCCTTCAAGCGTGACTTCTCCGTTAACATCATAATATCATATACTACTCCATCGGCTCTATTTTTCCGGCTAACCGATAGCACGACTCCACCGCTCCATAGTGCCACGACTCCACAACACCACCGCACTGCAGCGCCGCCATGCCATTGTGCCAAAAGCACAGCCCCATTGTTGGAGACAAATCACAGGTTTGGGGCTAGATTTAGATTTCATTAGCCTTGTCACAACTATGGCAGGTTGGAGATACATATAGGGTAGCTTGCTTGGTCCTTAAGAAAGGATTACAACATATTCTAGAGATGCTAAAGTAGATGCTAAAGCAAGATAAGATAAGATAAGATAAGGGCTGACATAGCCACCAGCTACTATAGATAAAAATCCTAAGTAGATAGGCACAAGTTCATTCTCCCCCTAAGTCTTGTGTGGCACCTTCTGGGGAATTTGAGCCATCCCAATCTTGGCGCGAAGCTCATGGAACTTGACCCGCCGAAGGGACATGGTGAGAAGGTCGGCAAGCTAGTCCTAGGCGTTGATGTAGCCGGCCTTGATGCTCCCCTCATCCAAGTAGCTCCTGATGAAGTGGTACTTAATGCGGATATGCTTGCTGCGCTCATGGAAGACGGGGTTCTTCACCAAGGCCAATGCAAACTTGCTATCCAACCTGAGCTCCAATGCTTCTATGTTAGCAGTCGAGCCAACCAGAGAGCCTGAGTTGAAGCGGTAGTGGCAGCGATGTACTCCGCCTTGCAACTGGACAGAGCCACCACTTGCTGCTTGACCGACTGCCTGCTGATCAGACACTTGCCAAGGAAGAAAAGTGTGCCGCTGGTGCCCTTGCTTGTGTCGATGTCGCCGGCGAGGTCGCTGTCCCCGATGAAGTGCTCCGCACCGGGACACGTCGGGTAGTGCAAGCCGTAGTCGAAGGTGCCCGCGACGTAGTGGATGATCCTCTTGACAGCCTGCTTGTGCTCCATCCTCGGTCACTGCATGAACCGACTGACGTAGCCAATGGTGAACGCTAGGTCCGGCCGCGTGTGGACGAGGTAGCGAAGGCTGCCCACAATGTGTACCACATGGCGTCGACCTCCTTCGTCGTGCTATCGCGATTCAGCTTCAGCCTCTCCTCCATGGGAGTGTGAGCTGGGTTGCAACCGATGAGCCCACCCAACTTGACGATGCGCTTGGCGTAGGTGGTCTAGCGAAGGGAGATGCCGGAGTTGTCCTAGTGGACCTCGATCCTAGGTAGAAGGAGAGCAGCCCCAGATCGCTCATCTGAAAGGCGGCCTTTATCTCAGCCTTGAATGCCTCCACCTCTTCTTCGTTGGTACCGGTGATCACCAAGTCGTCGACGTAGATGCCTACCAACAGGGCATTGCCTCCCTTGCCCCGCTGGTAGACAACAGCCTCGTGAGGGCTTTGCTGGAACCCATTTGCTTGAGGATCGAGTCCAGCTTGGCATTCCAAGCTCGTGGCGCCTGCCGCAAGCCGTAAAGGGCCTTGTGCAGGCGGAGAACCTTGTTCTCCTTGCCGGGGATGATGAATCCTGACGGTCGATGGACGTAGACCTCCTTTAGGTCACCATTGAGGAAGGCGGACTTGACGTCCATGTGGTGCACACGCCAACCATCCTGGGCCGCTAGCGCAAGGAGACGAATAGACTCTATCCGCACAACGGGCGCGAAGGCGTCGTCGAAGTCGACTCCCTCCTGCTGAACTAACCCGTGCGCCACCAAACGCGCCTTGTGCTTGATCACCGCCCCGGCCTCATTCTTCTTGAGCTTGTAGAACCACTTAAGGGTGATGGCGCGGTGGTCGGTAGGAAGATCCGCCAGCTCCCACGTCCGGTTTCGCTCGACCACGTCCATCTCTTGCTGCATCGCGACGTGCCATGCCGCGTCTCCCTCCGCCTCAGTGAAGGAGCGGGGCTCGCCGTCCTCGTGCATCAGGTGCAGCTCTGCCTCGAAGTCCTGCATCGCCAGTCTAGGGACGGGCTGATCACTGAAGATGTTGTCCAAGGTGCGGTAGCGCAGAGGCTTGTCGTCGTGGTAGGCATCCCCCGCTCCCTCGAAGTGGATGTAGTCGACCACGAAGTCTCTGAGGGTCGAAGTCGAGCCATTGTTCACCGCCTTGTCCCAGGTCCAGCCTCGCCCTTCATCGAACATGACGTCATGGGAGATACGGACGCGTTGTGTCGCAGGGTCGAGGATGCGGTAGGCCTTGACGCCCTCCGCGTAGCCGATGAAGATCCCCGGCGTGCTCTGGTCGTTGAGATTGCCGACGTGGTTGAGCTCCTTGGTGAACGCGAGGCAGCCAAAGACGCAGAGGTGGCTGACCATCGGTTTGTGCCCATGCTAGGCCTTGTACGACGTCTTGTCGTCAAGGGCCTTGGTGGGCGAGCTGTTGAGCGAGACGGACGACTGTCATCACCACCTCCCCCAGTAGATTGCCGGCATCCCTCTCTGCTTGAGTGCGCGAGCAGTGGTCACCACCGTCTGGTTGTGGCACTTAATGACGCCGTTCTGCTACGGGGTGTACGACGCAGAGAAGTGGCACTGGATCCCCTCGCCGGCGCAGTACACCGTAAACTTAGCAGCCGTGAACTCTCCGCCGTTGTCGGTGCGTAGCACCCGAAGCTAGTGGCCGCACTCCTTCTCCGCATCAACTTGATGGCGCTTGATGACGTCCGTAGCTGCCACCTTGGTGTCGAGCAAGACTGCCCACATGTAGCATGACACATCGTCGACGAGGAGTAGGAAGAAGCGCTGGCCTCTAGGTGTGTCCGGGGTCACAGGGCTGCAGAGGTCGCCGTGCACAAGCTCCAGCTTCTCCTTTGGCGTAGAAGCTCGCCTAGCAAGGGAAGGGAAGCTACCGCTGCTTGATGAGGATGCAGGTGTCGTAGAACTGCTCCACGTGCTCGACTCGCGGCATGCCCTGCACCATCTCCTTGTTGCTGAGCTGCTTCAGGGCCTCGAAGTTGATGTGCCCAAAGCGCTCGTGACACCGTCAGGCGTCGTCGTCGTGGCGGGCTGCAAGACACATGGGCTGCGTTACCTGCATATGGCAGACGTAGAGGCGCTTGGTGCCTCTGTCACCTTGACGAGAAGGCGATGATGGCGATCCCAGATGTGCATGACCCCGTGCTCGATCTCCATGCGCGAACCGTTCTCATCCAGCTGTCCCAAGCTGATGGAGTTCCTCAGCGCGGGGATGTAGAAGACACCGGTGAGCAGCTGGTGCTCGCCGGTCTTGGTGGTGAAGATGATGGAGCCGACGCCCTTGATCTCCACGGCAGAGGCGTCCCCGAACTTGACAGAGCCTCGAACTCCGGAGTCGAGCTCGGAGAAGAACTCCCGCCGCCCGGTCATGTGGTGGGTGGTGCCGGTGTTGAGGTACCACCCGTTAATCTTGTCGTCGCCGGACCCGTTGCCGAGGAAGACATGGGCGCATGGCTCGTCGAGGTGGAGGAGCGCGGCGGCGACCCCCGCGGGAGAGGAGTGCGTCTCGATGCTCTCGTGTGCGAAGAATAGAACCAGCTCATCACCCTCCTACGCTTGAGCAACGTGTGCCTGATCACCGCGCTTTGCCTGCCGGCAGTCCTTGGCCTAGTGGCTGGTCCTACCATAGTTCTTGCAGGTGTCGTCGCGGATAACCTTGCGCTCGCCGTCGGCGCCGATAGTAGCGCCACCACGCGCCTAGGAGCCGTGTCCCTCTTGCGCGGACGACGCTTGCGGCTGCTTGTCGAACCCGAAGCCTCTCCCTTCTTCCGTTCCCGCTGGCGGGCGAGCCACTGCTCCTCGGTGAAGAAAAGCTTGCAACCGATGGTGACTGGCTCTGAGAGAGATAACTGCTCGTGGTTGTCGACGGCCTTGAGGCGACACGTTGGATAGCTCAGAGAAGTCCAGCGATATCTTGATCGCGATGGCGACCTGCGAGTACTTCTTGGGGATGACGCGGAGGAGCTTCTAGACAGCTCTCTCCTCATCGATGTCGTCGTCGCCGTACCATGCCAACTGCTGCATCAGGGCGTTGAGGTGAAGAGCGAAGTCATCGATGTCCTCACCCGGCTTGAAAGCCAGGTTCTCCCACTTTTGACGTAGCTTCTGTAGCGTGGATCTACGAGCGCGGTCGCTGTCGATACATGCCGTAGTGATGACGTCCTAGGTGTCCTTGACGGTCTTCTTGTTCGCGAGGGAGGAGTGCATCTTCGGCGGAACAGCAGCAAGAAGCGCCTCCAGCGCCCGCCGATCCTCGTCGAAGTCAGCGTCGCCGTACCATACTGTATCCCACATGCGTCGTGCCTGTAGCTTCACCTTCATCACCATGGACCACTCAGCGTAGTTGGTCTTGGTGAGCATGGGCCACCCACCGTCGGCGCTGGTGTCCTTGACGACGGTCTACACGACGGGAAGGGAGCCGGACCGGCCACGACGACCACAGCACTGGTCCTAGAAGGGGAGGCACACCGCCTATGAGGGCTCCGTGCGCCAGCATCCCGTTCGTCAAAAGTCCCAGTCATCCAGGTCGCGTTCGCCGGGGCAGCGTCTCCCGACGTCGTGGGCGTCACGTGCGTTGAAGCCACGTCCGTCCCGGTCCCATCCGTAGAAGTCCTAGGGTGCCCACTCCCGTGCGATGCGCTCCTGCTCCGTCTAAGCCGCGAGCTCCCGTTGGACCCGTGGGTCGCGCTGCTCTCGCCGCGCCTAGTCCCGCTCGATCGCTGTAGCCCGGTCTCGCGCGTCTACCCTACCCGCACCCTACGCGCGCATCCACACCATCACCCACACCGTGCAGCTCTTGGTCGTCCGCTCTAGCGCGCAAGGCAGCAACTTCCGTTGTCGCTGCTTGAGCCGCAGTAGCCGCTTCCGCGGTCACCTGGGTGACCCGCGCTGCAGCCAACTCGACGACCGCCAGTCACTCCACCCAAGTGGCCACGTATGCCCGGACCACCGCCTCCTCGTCACGCCGGTCCGCTGTGGCCTAGGCCGCTGCCCGAGCGTCCACCTGGCGCTGGGTCCGAGCGTCCGCGTCGCGCTGCGTCCGCGCGTCGCCCTGCAGATGGAAGAGTGGCAGCAGAAGTGGCTGGCCATGGCGCTGGATTGGGATGGGAAGAACACAGAAAAGATAATTAGGCTCTGATACCATTTGTTGGAGATAAATCACAGGTTTTGGGCTAGATTCAGATTTCATTAGCTTTGCCATAACTATGGTAGGTTGGGGATACATATAGGGTAGCTTGCTTGGTCCTTAAGAAAGGATTAGAGCATATTTTAGAGATACTAAAGTAGATGCTAAAGCACGATAAGATAAGGGCTGACATAGTCACCAACTACTCTAGATAAAAATCCTAAGTAGATAGGCACAAGACTTATGCTTTCACCCATCGTGCCCGTGCCACCACGCCGCAACCCAGCCCCGTAGCACCACCCGCCATTGCGATGGATACCGGGGGTAGGGGGGGCACAGTGGAGGTGGAGCTTGTGTGAGGTTTGAATTGGGATATGGACTCTTGCGATAAATATGACAAACACATGGCCAATGCCATCTGCTGCTGCATCATAAGAAACATGAACGCCATCTGCACCAGCATCATTTCACTCCATGGGCTCCTTGATCTTCATCACCTAAGACATCAAACAAAAAACAGAGAAATGAGATCATAAACAGAATGAAGACATAGCAAAACAGAAGAATGAGTAAATGAGAACAGTGAATTTCATCATCCCAAACCATGTAATAATCTAGTTCATGGGCAGGGCCATCCCACTCTACAATGCCATCCCAATCTATTGAATGGTTTTGACCTGATTTGGGTGGCTCTTGGTTTAAGTCGATCTCTAATCCGGGCATTGGTTTTCTACTCCAGCATGAATCAATGATAGAGAGAGGGGGAACAGTTCACTGGTATTTCGTGGACATAGTTCTCCATGGCGAGTTATATAGGCCATGGCACTGAAACTTTTATTTTTGGTCCTATGAATTGAGAAGTGGCAGGCAGGACGAGATCATGGCTAATTTTTAGTCTTACCTCCGCCAATTTTCGGTGTGGCCACAGACTCATGGAACATTAAACCCGAGCAGGAGGGGTCGTGGGAAATTTAACAAGCAGCGCGGCTGGCAAAAATGGATGCAGAGGTTGGGAATAGGAGGTGAGCGCACGATACCAGGCATGGTAACTGTGTTAGCGTTGGCCTGTGTTTAGGATCCCGAGAAACCAAATGGACGCCGGCGCCTTAAGGGAGCGGTGGTGAATAAATGAAAAATGGCGATCCTTGAGCCCTCCTTCGTCACGGTTCCATGGGCTGTATGACTTAGACTTTTGGTTGGAGGAAGTTAAAAGTATTGGATAAAACCTAAAGCTCTCTAACCTGCGGCGCCCATTGGCCCTCCAGCAAGCCTCTGGCAGCAGCCCTTCTGCCACCGCCCCTTGTCTCATCCTAGGTGCTGCCAGCCCTAGGGCCGCCGCTCCTTCCCCTCCTCCCTTTAAGTGCCCCTTCTATTCTGCCCTTCATCCCCTTCAACAGATCAGGAAACTGACATGGATAGACTGTTTTTTGTGTCTTGGATTATATAAAGACCTTACCATGCATTTTAATTATGAAAAGAAACCGTTGTTGAAACACCTTGGTATGTGGTATTAAAAACAGATGTAAGGACGTCATAGCAGCTGTGATTGTTAACACAGAAAAAATGAGTACCATGCAGAGGAAGAACAACAACTTGATTTGATAGGAACTGGGATCATGGAAGGAGAATTAGTTTCTTGATTAAAACAATTCACAATCTGCAAGGTGTGGAAAAGTGGATTGTTATATTGTAACAATCTGGCCTGTGGATTGTTATAATCTGATTAGAAGGTGGGGCCTGTTAAAAAAACCTCGATCCACGGGGTAAGATAGCCCCAGGCATTCTTCTTATAAGATAGAAAGTAACATTCTCATGCAGGTTGAGAAAAACCCCGAACCTCTATCCCACCCATACACAGTGTCACCGTTGCCCATGTGAGAACCTGGGCCGGTCCTTAGACCTGTGCTTTGACGTGGTATAAACGAGGAAATTTTTTTTAACCTCAATCCTAGCCTTTACTCAGAGTCGACTTGAGGAATGCTACTAAAGCCACCTAACCAACTCGGCTAGGCATCCGTTCGCAACTGGGGCTTGTTTATCTCGGCTTTTAGATTATAAATACCTACAATTCACAATATGCATGCTAAAACAAACTGGCCCTAAGAGCATAAATTTGGTTAAGAAAAATATTAGAGGTAATGGTTTAATTCTTATTTGTTTGGTTCATAGTGGATATAATAAGGGTATTGGTTTTATGGGAACGTCTAAAGTTAAGATACAATCTCTAATCTTATAAAGAATTCAACCTTCACGAATGTTCTTTTGTATTTACTTGTTACCTTTCCTTATTGTGGCACAAAATTTGAATTATTCTCGTTAAGTGTTTAATAATTGTTAGCTTTGCACTTTCATAATTGCAGTGTTGTATTCATGAATTGTTTATTTGATTGACCAGTTGACAATTATCTGTTCTTAGGTGTTTGAAATTCATGATTACGTGAAACTTCAACATCATCTTACGACATGTACGTTCTCTCTACAGAGCTATCCCTGAAGACAATAGAAGAACGGAGTACCAAGATGCTGCTGCGAAAGCACAAGCCAAAGAGGAAACCTTGGCCTCAAAACGAGCTAACGAAGCTGAAGCAGCTGCCAGTAAATTTGAAGCCGACATGAAGAAGGCACCCTTAGAAGATGCAGCTGCTGCTGCTAGCCCGGTGAACGATGCCCAAGCCTCTCTACAGAACCTCTTGAGTATACCCAAAGTGATCAGTACGGATTTCTTTTGGGAGAAGTTCAGCACACAGCTGGCTGAAGTGACGACTCCTCGAACCTCGCTAGAGAAGGAACCAAAGGCACAGATAGCCACTGTGCGAGGCCAGGAAAAAGCAAAGAAGCTGGCACCGCGGATTGCCATTGTGAAGCCAGCAGAGCAGAAAGTGAAGCCACAATTGAAGCAGCCAGATCCCAAACCAGAAGTGAGGCCAGTGTTTGGTGGCCTCTTCAAGCAAGAAACAGTGTATGTGGATGATGACTAAAACAAGGAGAGCCAAATTATCCTCCACGTGATTTTTGTCCAATGCCTTGATGTACTCTTGGAATAGGAACGCTTAAAGCTGTACAAAATTTGGCTATACGAACCCATTTGTCTGTGGATGAAGAATGATCATGTGCTACAGACCCAAATGCTGGTACAACCGAACTGATGTATAGAGGAGCAACTTGGTTTTCTAGAAGAGTTAAATGCACCAAAAGCTCTAAGGATGTGTCATGTAGGTCTACGAACTTCGGAAATGTATTTTTAGGTCCCTAACCTGTTAAGCGATGCACCGTAGGTCCATGCCAACCACGTGGACATTGCTTGCTGATGTGGCATACCAGCGTGACATATATATTTTTACTTTTAACCCCTCGTATTTATTTTTTCCTATAAAAACAAACTCTCCCGGTCTCCCTTCTCCTTCCTCTCTTTCTTGCCCCTCCTCCCTTCTCTGCTGCTGCAGAAGGTCACGTGGCTCCTGGAGTTGCATCCTTACTGCCCATGGAGGCGCCTCCTCACCTGATGGGGTGGGCAACGCCTAAAGCTTTGCCCACATCATCACCGATGTAGGTGCCATGTGCACGCGAAACTGACGAGCATAGGAGAGAGAAGGGATGGTCTACTTTTCAAGGAAAAAAATAAATTTGAAGCGTTAAATATAAAAATACATGTCACGCTAGCCTGCTATATCAGCACGAAATGACCACATAGCTAGCATAGACCTATGGTGCACCACTTAACAAGTTTAGCGACCCAAAAATATATTTTCAAAGTTCGCAGACCTAGATGACACACCCTTTTAAATTTAAAGGCCGCTGATGTATTTAACTCTTTCTAGAATATATACTTAGAAGGTTGTTGATACATTGATGAGAGGAGGAAGGGAAGGGGCTAGGAAATCTAGCCGGAGCTAGCCTCGAGCTGCAGTGATCCCCCATCTCGCTGTGTTCGTGATGGGTTTTGTAGCGTGTATTTCTTGTTCCTATCTCCTTGGGTCGAAACACATACTTCCTTGAAACACGGTTTGTCCCAAGCCATTTGTGCAATATCTATAACAAACTTGGGACTACCTGTATCACCAAAGCTAATCAAGAAATGAAAAGAAACATAATCAGTTACACGCCTTCCACACCGAGGAAAACAGGATGCTCGCCGTAGCTTTTGCTCCGCGCCAGCGCCGGAGCGTAGGGCCCCTCTCCTTCATCTCCTGTGCATCTTCCGGTGATAAGAAGAGGGGATCTCTCTCTTTTCCATAGTTTTATATCTAGTTGCATAGGATTTAGCCCAAATAAATCTATCAAAAAAATCATATGATTTTTAGTCGGGATCATGTTTTCTACAATGACTTCCACGATAAGATCGTTATTGCAGGCGTCGAAATCTCATCGTCGATGATTGCAGAGAGGAAATCAAGGATTGGTGGTAATGAATCTACATCTAATGTTGTATTCGACGATGCAACTGCTAATATTCTTTCATCGATCCATGTGTTTTGGATTGGTTCTAAAACGCTAGATCTTGCAGCATATCCAATGTTTTAGCGTTGATCGTTGGATTCGACATAAGGACTGCACTTTGACTCCGACGTTCAACAAGGCTCTGTTCATCTAGAGTATTGGTTGCATGGAGAAAAGTCACTATGGAAGAAGACGATGAAAGAACCTGAATAGAATATTATGTATTTTTATTTCATAATTTTTTATGTGTAATTCAGCGATGTATTGTGTCGAGTCTTGTAATCCCCGTTCCCTTCGAATAAAATGTATCACCAAATCTGGTCCATGATCTGGAAGTTGTAAATTAATCCAGGATCTTCCAACTACCTACCTACTCTGCATGTCTTCTGTGCCAGGATCACAATTTAAGATGATTATTATGTGGTCAATTAGCTTGAAAATAGCTGCCTCTGCCCTCTACAACAACAAAGCCTTTAAGTCACAAACAAGTTGGTGTAGGCTATAATATAATATAATTTTCCAAACATGTCAAGGGATTTAGCTATTATTTATGGTAAAAACATAATACAGTTTGAGACTAAAAGTTAATATTCACAAACTTGACCAAAAAAGATTACTGCCCACCTTGTTAAATAGAACATCCCTGCCATTCAAATGCATGATGCCATCCATAAAAGTGCACTTCCAATGATTCTTAGTCCTTGACACCTATTATCATTGAGCGAATTCCTTGTGAGCCATTATAAAAAAATTGCAATTCCTTGTGAGCCACTGAAAAAGTTCAGCGGATTTCAGCGTCACTATTCCAATTTTTTTCCCTCTATGCCACTGCCGTTAGATTGGGCTCTAACGGTGTCAAACTGTAGGTGTGAAAAGTCAAAAATACCATTAGGTCTAAATATGTCATTAATTTTTTAAGCATCTTAACGACTTCAAATGAAAAAACTCAAAACTAGAAAGTTGTAGATCTCGTCGAGATCTATAATTTTCATATAAAAATTATCTTCATTTAATTCCATAAAAAAAGATATGATTTGATATGATTAATATATCTTAGAAAAATCATATCTTTTTTGCTGTATTAAATGAAGATAATTTTAATATAAAAATTATAGATCTCGACGAGATCTACAACTTTCTAGTTTTGAGTTTTTCCATTTGAAGTCGTTAAGATACTAAAAAAATTAATGGCATATTTAGACCTAAGGGTATTTTTGACTTTTCATACCTGCAGTTTGACCTCATTAGAGCATAATCTGACAGCAGTGGCATGGAGGGCAAAAAAAAAGTTAAAGCAGTGGCACTGAAGTCCGCTGAACTTTTTCAGTAGCTCACAGGAAATTACGATCTTTTTTAATGGCTCACAAGGAATTTCCTCATTATCATTGAAGAGGATGTAAGACAGTGGACTGAAACTAGAGGGAAAACCTAAGCATGGATAGCAAATATTAACTTAAACAAAGTGCACCTACTTTGTCAAATTGTGCAAGTACAAGATGTTGTGTGTTAGGTTCATCCTCCCCTTGCTCAAGGTCATCTAACTCGTCGTCGTCGTCGTCTTCATTAAGAGGAGGTTTATCATCATCATCATCTCCAGCATCATTTCTTTGTGTTGGTGTTCCAACAGCAAACTCCACCTATGTTGTCTCAACATAGCAGGTCACAAGCCCTGGTAAAGGAGGAGGGTTGTGATAGGCATGGCGAGCCAACGTTAAATCTAGCCATTTTAATGGAGATGAAACCCAAAAGAAAACCGTTGGGGCGTAACCCTCTTAGCGACGCGCCATATCGAAACCCGAGTATGGTGTTAAATGGGCAAGGGCCGGGTCGGCACCCCCTTGGTGACGCGCCGTGTCGCGATCTGGGCATGGTGTTAAGTAAGCAAGGATCGGGTCGTCGCTTCCTTAGTGGCGCGCTACATCAGCACCCGGATGTAGTGAAAAATGAGCAAGGGTCTTCACATCTGAGTCGATGGGTGCGAAGGGTAAGAAAGCTAGTCGAACCAACTAGGATCTGTTTAGGTAGTTGGAATATAGGGTCGCTTACAGGTAAGTTAAGAGAATTAGTTGATACTACGACTAGGAGGCGTGCAAATATATTATGCGTTTAAGAGACTAAATGGAAAGGTCAGAAGACGAAGAAGATAGACAATACATGTTTCAAGCTTAGGTACACAGGGACAGTCGCGAAAAGAAATGGAGTAGGAGTTTTGATTGATAAGAGCCTCAAGAATGGTGTGGTGGAGTGAGAAGGCAAGGAGATAGGATTATCTTAGTCAAGCTTGTCGTTGGTGGTATGGTCTTAAACGTAATTAGTGCATATGCCCCCCAAGTAGGCCTCGACGAGAGTGCTAAGAGACAGTTCTGGAAAGACTTAGATGGCCTGATTAGAGCCGTACCTAGTAGTGAGAAGCTTTTTATAGGAGAAGATGTTAATGGGCATGTAGGTACTAGAAGCGCAGGTTTCGAGGCAGTTCATGGAGGTTTTGGTAATGGTAGTAGGAATCAAGAGGGGGAGAAAGTTCTGGACTTCACGGTAGCTTTTGACCTGATGATAGACAACACTTTCTTTAGAAAGAGAGAATCTCATCTAGTGACCTTCAGTAGCGGACAACACTCTAGCCAGATTGACTTTGTCCTTGCAAGAAGAAAGGACAAATGAGCATGCTTGGGTTACAAGGTGATATCAGGGGAGTGTGTTGTTTCTCAACATAAGCTTTTGGTGGCAGACTTTCATTTTCATGTGCATGCCCGTATGGATAAACAAGCTAAGATTGAAAGAACAAAGTGGTGAAAACTAAAAAGGGAGACGTCAGAAGTATTCAGGGAAAGGGTTATCAAAGAGGGCTCTTGGAAGAAAGAAGAGGACATAAACAACATGTGGGAGAAGATGGCAACCAATATTCGGAAGGTGGCTTCAGAGGTGTGTGGAGTAACCAAAGGAAGTGGAGCAACCAACATTCAGTTGGATGACTCTTTTGATGATATCAATAGGCGCTTTGTGCGGAGAATCCAAGAATCTGATGTCAGAGAGGCGTTGAAAAGGATGAAAGGAGGTAAGACGATGGGACCGAATGATATCTCAATCGAGGTGTGGGGAGATGCCTCAGGGACATAGCTATAGTATGGCTAACCAAGTTGTTCAACTATATTTTTTGATCGAACAAGATGCCTGACGAGTAAAGATGTATATTGGTACCGATCTACAAGAATAAAGGAGATATTCAAAGTTGTACTAATTATCGGGGAATTAAGTTGATGAGCCATACTATGAAGCTATGGGAGAGAGTTATCGAGCATCGCTTGAGAGCAATAACGCGGGTCTCTATGAACCAATTTGGTTTCATGTCCGAAAGGTCAACCATGGAAGCCATTTTCTTAATAAGATAAGTTATGGAGCGGTATAGGGAGAAGAAGGACCTACACATGGTTTTTATTGACTTGGAAAAGACTTATGATAAAATACCAAGGAATGTCATATGGTGGGCTTTGGACAAACATAAAGTCCCAACGAAGTACGTCGGGCTCATTAAGGACATGTA